CGATTGAGTAGTCCAGCTCGCATACTATTCGCCCGCACCACTGTACAAGGGTTGGGGAATGTGTATGTTCCCGCGGACGCCGTATCATGGATCTTATTACAGTTATAGAACATGAAATTCATTGAGGCGACTTGGGAGTTTTGGGTACGAGCGGGTCACCAACAGCCGCACGGATCGTTTGTTCGAGGTTGTCTCTAGCACTTTGGGTCAATATCCTAACCACAAGGCAGAGGTGGCACTAGGCTACTGTAGGTCTACCCTTGGCGATCACAGAGTAGACGCACCAGTACTTCTGCAATGCTCCGATGAGACATTGATATACCTAAACGCAATTGTTCACTAAAAAGGGGACATTCAAAATATGTATGACAAAGAAGTAGAAAAAGAAGACTTATGGTTTTAAACGCACTGTTTTGGGCTACACATCAAACCTGGTTCATATTTTCGGTGCCCACAGCATAGACGGTGTTGACATTATATTGCACTTGTATGTATTTTTTGTTATTTTTAAAATATATATTTTGCATTCATTACTAAAGGTTTACGATGCGAGTTTGTACAGAATGCATTTCTGGTCTCGAAATGTGTTCTTTCTCACCTTAAATTACACCTGGTATTTCCTATGAGGTATTCGGACATGTTCTAATTTTTTTAGTGATGGCGAACTTATCTGTGTAAGCCTATTCCGGGGGACTTTTTTGGAATTGTCGAAGTTAAAACAATTACTTCTATTTTTCTAGATTATCACAAAAATGTACAAAATATATATTGCAAAATATAAAGTACGCAAATATATAGGATACTATATGCCCCCCTCCTATGCCGATGGCAAGGAATGCATATTTCAAGCCCAAAAAATGGTTGAAGAACCAGGGGATTAAAATGAACAGAAGAATCGGCGTATTGTCAACCCTAAGTATGGTCTCCTGAAAAGCCCTTGTAAGAACTACCCATTACACTTAGTCTCCAAAGAGGCTTTTCTTAAATAAAAGTGTGAGGGAGGGTGAATTGACTGGAGTGGCGGTGACAAAGAGAGGGTGAACTCTTGGAAATCAAGCCAGCGGCGTCAACAACACTGCTCTAAAGGACCATTCTCTCACATCACCGATTGTCATCACTCATTCGCCACTGTAGCATTTATCTTATGGAACAACTACGGTGTAAGTGTTTCATCTCATTCTGAGTGGCAGACGACAACAACTCCCGTACATGCATCCGGTTGAAAGTAAGTAAAAAGTTATCCTTGGCCGAGATATCGGACACCCTTGCTGACAAGTAGGACAACCTACTGGAGATGAAGTCTGTTAAGTAGCAACTTATACATAAAACCAGAACAGTCAAACCCTTAGCCCACTGTTCCCGCGATTCACTTTTAAGAAATAAGAACAATTTTAACTTGCACCTCTTAACATGAGCATTCGAGCGATGGATATGCCCACCAATGACTTAATTTAATTGAATGAACTCCCCACAATATGAAAGTTCACTCGCAAACGCCGCATATCCATTTCACCTCTCTTCTACACTTCACCAAGCTATTCGCGCTGGACATGCCATCCGAATTCCGAATAGTGTTGGTGACAATAAGCAGAACGGCGCCCACCTGAACAAGGACCAACAGTGACCACATTTATTTGCAACTGATAAGGCAGCGGTCTGTTTCACGCAAGCATTAGCGGCTCGAATATCGTTTCAAACAGCGCACGCCTGCCTGCATAGCAGTCGTTTAAACGCCCTCTCCAGACGATTGACCAGAAGTGACACTGGTAACAGGCAGACGTGCGTTGCTGACAAGGACAAAGAACACTGGAATGACCAGTGTTGGCTTTCTAGCCTGTGAATTCTGATTTAGCGAAAGAGACATTGATCGACAGTCGCCATAACGCTATGAACCGAGAATGACGTAGGATATGGAAAATAAACGACTCAATAAATGGTGAACTTGCAAATTGGAACAGGCACCTGATAGTATGGAAAGGTTATCGCTAAGGTACAGCACGTCTGACACACTAATCAATCTTATCTGTGACCAGCTTTGATGATTGTTTCGAACAAAACTCAGAAACGTCAGCTTAACCAGGTTCGAGTACTTAGCACTTCGTATTCTGCCAGGCATGCAGTTTGAGTTCGAGGCAATGTATGCTAATAAAGCTTGCGCAAAATTGTGGTCGAAAGATGGGCACACAGTCAGTTCACAAAGGGCTTTTATTAGAAGACGAATTTGCTTTTCACGGTGCATTGTGTCATCACTGACCAACTACAGTGCACTCCGTGTAGTTGATTCAGTCCCTTGGTTAGATTAAATGTTACCGAGCAGCCACCGTTGGCCATGGTTGGTCAAAAGGTTTTTCTTATTTTGCCCTTTAGGACGTTTTAGATTACTGAAGGGATTTACTTAAAAAAAACTGCTCATTTGCATTGGTTCTCTTTTTAAACAGTAGGCAAGGGACTAAGTGGCTTTGTGCCGACCCCTTTCTGTGCATGTTTTAGACTATCTTGCGATTATCAATGGTTAAGTGCTGTCAGGAAAATAAAACTCTCCTTCCGGTGACTGCATCTTCTTTTTCTGAACTGCTTCCTGGAACTCAAATATTCTCCTCTATTGGCAATCATGAGTCTATTCCTAACAAATAGCGTGCAGAGTTCTATCTGTTTTCATTCAAGAGGATGAGCTGAACGGAAGTTTTCCTTACTAAATGCCTTTTGAGTAGCCTACACTTCAGAAAACCTGAATGTAAGCGCTACGGCAGGCCGGGCTCAAATGTGTGTTCACCCCACTCAGCGTGTAACGTTCGCCTCTCGCGGCTGCTAGCCGTGCGCGCGAACTAGCGCCTGCCATACCAACCCGGTCAGTTAATCATTTCCCTGTGCAAACGTACAAGGCAAAGTGCAGCAGTCGCTGATATGACTCCCGGGCTCTCATACGTCGGAAACCACTCCTCCTGCGGAGAGTTATGTACACTGCCTACTGGTAACATCCTGCAATCTTTCATCCACTAGCACTGAACAGCATATTAATACTTCTCTCACCTGGCGTACCACTTCTTGTCTTGCTGCATGGCATCCGGCCTAAACGCTATTCTCCCATTAAGCTACCGCGATAAATTTTTTTAAACACAAACATCCCTTGCGTCAAGGATAGGCCCGCAGAAGACAGTTCAATATAGAGAATCACCACAACAAAATAAAATTTGCTAATTTTCCCCATAAAGTGAAGTTTAACATGGAAGAAAGAGATGCGTTAACCGGGAGACGTTTACTGTAAGCCTAAAGTTTTGAATGGGTGTCTGGTCTACTCATCTTCAGAAAATAAAACTCT